TGTGAGCAACGTGGTCTGATTTCACTGGCCAGCACATGCTTCTTGAGTGTGGGATTGGTTTTCTCAAGCCCTAGAAAGGGTTTTGATCAGCCACCAGCTTAAGGCAGGCTGAGAAAGAAGAAAGGAGGGTGTATTTGGGTCAGTTCGCTCAGATTAGAAGAGGGATCAGATATTATTTTCCCTTTGCCACTTTCTATTCCTGCCTGATATGCCTGCCTGTTCCAGCCTATTTTTGTCATTTTGCTACAGAGCCTTTGCCCAATGAATTCGTGCCTGGGGCTTGGAAATCACGTTGGTGTTGGAGTCAGATGAGTTGGGTGAATCCAGCCTCTGCAGTCTGAGCAAGCGCTGCCTTCCTCATCCTCCTCTTCCTCACCTAGAAAGTGGACATCCTGAGGCTGGGTGCAGTGCCTCATGCCTGTAATCCCAGCACTTTGGGAGGATGAGGTGGGTGGATCATGAGGTCAGGAGTTTGAGACCAGCTGGCTAGCATGGTGAAACCCTGTCTGTACTTAAAAAAAAAAATTAGCCAGGCATGGTGGTGCATGCCTGTAATCCCAGCTACTCAGGAGGCTGAGGCAGGAGAGTCGCTTGAACTCGAGAGGTAGAAGTTGCAGTGAGCCAAGACTGCACCACTGCATGCCAGCCTGGGCAACAGAGTAAGACTCAGTCTCAAAAAAAAAAAAAAAAAAAAAAAGGACATCCTGAAACAGACCTCACAAGGGAATAGGGTGATTAAATGAGATGACTGAGCCTATTGCTGTGTGTGGCTGTTGTGAGTTCCACTGGGTGTACTTGGGCAGGTCTCACTGCTGTCTGTTTCCCAGACTGTACATGAAGAGCTGGTCTGCATCAGGGGCTGCAAACCCAGCCTCCCACAGCTGCCATGTGTGTGAATCTGATGGGAGGGTGCCCTGTTCATGGGGCCTCTGCTATGCAGCACCAAATAATTGAAGCCCTGGTGGACGCTGGAAGGTCAACTCCAAGGCACCCAGGGCTGCTCCTCTCTTTCGTTCACTGCCATATTCTCAGTGCCCACCACAGTGTCTGACGAAGTAGATGCTTAATAAATATCTGCTCAATGAATGAAATTGAATCTTTTGTAAAGTGTCTGCTCATATCCTTTGCCCACTTTTGAATGGGCTTGTTAGTTTTTTTCTTGTAAATCTGTTTTAGTTCTTTGTAAATTCTGGATAAGTTAGAATGGCGATCATTAAAAAATCTGGAGACAACAGATGCTGGAGAGGATGTGGAAAAATAGGAATACTTTTGCACTGTTGGTGGGAGTGTAAATTAGTTCAACCATTGTGGAAGACAGTGTGGCGATTCCTCAAGGACCTAGAAATAGAAATTCCATTTGACCCAGCAATCCCATTACTGGGTATATATCCAAAGGATTACAAATCGTTCTACTATAAGGACACGCGCACACGAATGTTCATTGCAGCACTGTTTACAATAGCAAAGACCTGGAACCAACCCAAATGCCCATCGACGATAGACTGGATAGGGAAAATGTGGCACATATACACCATGGAATATTATGCAGCCATCAAAAATGATGAGTTTGTGTCCTTTGTAGGGACATGGATGAACCTGGAAACCAACATTCTCAGCAAACTGACAGAAGAGCAGAAGATCAAACACCGCATGTTCTCACTCATAGGCGGTTGTTGAACAATGAGAACACATGGACACAAGGAGGGGAGCACTACACACTGGGGTCAGTTGGGGGGAAATAGGGGAGGGACGGTGGGGGGTGGGGAGCTGGGTAGAGAGAGCATGGGGAGAAATGCCAGATATAGGTGATGGGGAGGAAGGCAGGAAATCACACTGCCACGTGTGTACCTATGCAACAATTTTGCATGTTTTTCACATGTACCCCAAAACCTAAAATGCAATAAAATAAATGGGAAAAAAAAAGAAATTGAATCAGTGTTGCTAGATATTCCAAACGTTCAAGAGAAACTGGAAAACTGGCTCCCTATGTGAAGTTTCAGTACTGGTAACCAACTCAAAAGCCTGGGGGCTTGGAGTTTTAAAAAATGCCATGTGGTCCAAATTAAACAGGTGTGCAGGCTGGATCTTGCCCCTTGGCTCAGCTCCAGGCCATCTGACCATGCTCTGCTCTCCAGGAAGCCTGCAGGGGCCGGAGCACTGATCACAGGGTTGTCACCGATGAAGTCCTGGTGGCGCAGCCACTGCCAGCCCTTCAGACCCTGTCTCCAGGCTCCAAGAACATGTCTTCCTTCCATTCCTGGAGTGAATGAGTCTTTGCTGCTGTTCACAAGCACTAGCCCCTCCCGTGCAGCTGTGGCAACTGCTCATTCTCCTTATTCCCCCAAGTGTCTTGGAGTCTGGTCACTACACCCTTTCCCCCACTCCATGGAAACTGACCTTGGAATGGCCGCCTGGCCCATGGACTCTCTCCTCCCCAGGGCCTGGCAGTGTCCCACCTGCCTGCAGAGGCCCGGCGGCAGCCCACTCCCATCTGACCTCTGGATTCTCTATGTTGTCTCCAACCTCCTTCTTCTTCCCTCTACTTCAGCCACCTGGTGCCAGGGACATACTTGGTTCTTGTCATCTCCTGGGGTGGCTCTGCCTCTGGAGGGTCCTATTCAAACATTCCTGCTCCGTGGCCATGTCTCTCTCTCTCTCTCTTTCTCTTTATGAGGCAGGGTCTCTGTTATACAGGCTGGAATGCAGTGGCACAATCTTAGCTCACTGCATGCAGCCTTGACCTCCTGGGCTCAAGTGATCCTCCTGCCTCAGCCTCCTGAGTAGCTGGGACTACAGGGTATGCACTACCATGCCTGGATAATTTTTGCATTTTTTTTTTGTAGAGATAGGGGTCTTGCTATGTTGCCCAGGCTGGTCTCAAACTCCTGGGCTCAAGCTATCCACCCACCTCAGCCTCCCAAAGGGCTGGGATTACAGGCATGAGCCATCGTGCCTGGCCCTTCTTCTCCTTCTTGCTCTGTCACCCAGGTTCTCTCACTGCTCCGTCCTTTAACACACTGATCTCACGCCACTTCTTTCTCCCCCTGTGCTCGTTTCTTCCCTCTCCATCGTTTCCCAGAGTCTGACCAGGATCCCCAACTTCCATGACCTATGGCCGTCTACTTGGCTAAAACCTACTCCAGAGCAACCCTTTCCTGGGTCTGTCAAGCATTATCCAAGTAAATTCACACAACACAGCCATACTTACCAGCTTCAATGGGGCCCTCACATGATTCCTGGGTGAACTATCTTTGCCAACTGACCATTGTGGACCCAACCTGTCCATTCTCCTTCAGCCCCACTTCCCTACGTGACCTGCCTCCTCCTCTGCTGTCCTTTGACCTCTCCCTCCTAACCTGTAACTCACCTGCCTCTGGGACACCTCTCCCCCCTACCCGTAACTCACCTGCCTCTGGGCCACCTGTCCCTCCTAACCTGTAACTCGCCTGCCTCTGGGCCACCTCTCCCCCCTACCTGTAACTCACCTGCCTCTGGGACACCTCTCCCCTCTACCTGTAACTCACCTGCCTCTGGGCCACCTGTCCCTCCTAACCTGTAACTCACCTGCCTCTGGGCCACCTCTCCCCGCTACCTGTAACTCACCTGCCTCTGGGCCACCTGTCCCTCCTAATCTGTAACTCACCTGCCTCTGGGCCTACTTTGTTCCTTCTGTCTGGAACTCTCTTTTCCCCCATTTTGCTTGGCCAGCGTCTCATTTTTCGGGATTCAGTTTATGTGTCTCTTCCTCCAGGATCCCCTAACCATCCCTTGTGGCCACACAGACTGGAGCCCTGCTCTGGTTCTCATGGCACCCCTCCCCTGATGGTGGCAGACATCCTGCTCTGTGACAATCTCTTAATTATTGTCCTAGTTGCTGTGAGCCCCTGGAAGGTAGAGACACTGTTACGTTCACTGCTGGGTCTCTCATAGCAAGATGCGCACCAGTGCGTTATGAGTTCAACAACAGCATGCACAAGCATTCATTCGTGAGCAGCTCACCCTTTCCCACCTCCACGTTTTGATTCTGCCCCTGCCAGCCCTTCCTCCCATCTCCATGTATCCAGATCGCACCCTTTGTGGAAACGAGGCTCACAGCTGACTCCCTTCACAGCGTCTTCTCTGCTAACCTGAGGGGGAAATCATCTGCTTTCTCTCTGAAGAGGCAAGATGCTGGATCTGTGGTGTGCTCATGCAATTTCTCATTTTGTTTTTTATATTAAAATACTTAGATGTATGTAAGTTCCTTGAAGATAGAACTCCTAGCTATATCATCCTTGCATTCCTGGCAGATCGCCTGGAAAGCTTTGAATGGACAAACGGAAGTGTGATAGGAGAGGCCCTTACTGGACACTTGTATTTGTTCCTGCTGCCGCTATGACAAATTACCAGAAACGTGCTGGCTTAAAACACAAATGGGGCCGGGTGCAGTGGCCACGCTTGTAGTCCCAGCACGCTGGGAGACCGAAGTGATCACTCGAGCCCTTGAGTTTGAGACCTGACTAGGCAACACAGGAAGACCCCATCTCTACAAAACATAGAAAACATAGCCAGGCATGGTGATGCACACCGTAGTCCCAGCTACAGGAGGCTGAGGTGGGAGGTTCCCTTGAGTCTGGGAAATTGAGGCTGCAATAAGCCATGATTATGTCAGTGCACTCCAGCCTGGGCGACAGAGACTCCATCTCAATGAAACAAAACAAAACACAAATGTAATCTCTAACACTTCTGGAGGCCAGAAATGCTACATGTTTCCAGGGCTGAAGTCAACGAGTTGGCAGGACCCATTTCTTCTGGAGGCTCCAGGGGAGGATCCATTTCCTTGCCCTTTCCAGCCTCTAGAGGGTGCCTGCAATCCTTGGCTCGTAGCGGCCGCCCTGAATTCCTCTGGCCTCTTCCACAGTCACATCTCCTGTCACATCTCCTGACTCTGAGCCTCCTGCCTCCCTCCTATAAGGACCCTTGTGATTATATTGGGCCCACCTGGATAATTCAGGGTCATCTCCCCATCTCAAGACTTTAGCTGGTAACAGCTGTAAAGTCCCCTTGATCATAGAAAGTAACATTCATAAAGTCCAGGAATTAGGTAACCCCCAACCTATGGGAGTAACTATTTAGCCTATCACAATAGCATTTAGTATGTCACAAAGAATTGATAAGAATGCCAAGATTCTTGGTTCAATGCTGTTTTAATTCCGCCAGAAAAGTTGGAAAATTTCTTTCCTATGGGATGAAGACATTGGAGCAAGGCTTTTAGGGGTGCACTGTTTATAAAGTTCCCAGACCTTGGTCCTGAAGAGCCGGCCCACAAAGACATAAATCACTGGATTCAGGGAGCTGTTGATGAAAGCAAAGAAGTTGGTCAGTTGCAGGCCCAGGTCGATGAAGTCCTCCCAGAAGCAGCCTTGGACTGCTTGCACCTGGAATAAGAATTCCAGGAAGGCAAAGAAATGGTAAGGGGCCCAGCAGACCAAGAAGGCAGCCACGAGCATGAGGATCAGCACCGTGGTCTTGCCATCCTTTCGGCCCCCGCACCCCCTACCGCTGGCCTCCTTCCGCCCTCGCAGGGAGGCCAGGATGTGGTAGTTGAAGAAGATGATCGCAGCCAGGGGTAGGAGGAAACCCAGAATGTTTAACTCCACGATCCTTGCAAAGTGCCAGGCCTCATGGGGGAAGAGCAGGATGCAGGCGGTGATGTTCAGATCTGGGACGGCTTTAAGGGATCGAAGCAGGAATGTGGGGATACTCAAGAGGCCCCCCACAACCCAGATGAGCATGCAGGTAACCTGGGCCTGCCTCCGCCGCTGCCTCCTCCGACTGGCCATAGGATATACCAGTACGCGGTAGCGGTCCTGGCTGATGGCCACCACCAGGAAGATGCTGGTGAACAAATTGGCCTTGATGACCCCGTTGATGACACGGCAGAGGAGGGCCCCGAAAGGCCAGTTAAACTGGTTCCAGATATTCTCTGCCCAGAAGGGCAAGCCCAAGACAAACACCAGATCAGAGGCCGCCAGGTTGGCCAGGTAGATTTCTGCCACGTTCAGTCGCCGCCGGGGCAGGAGGAAGACCGACAGGACAAAAAGGTTTCCCAGGAGGCCGAAGAAGCAGATGGAGATGATAAATGTCGGCAGTACTCTGTGCAGCAGGTCCCAGGCTTCCGGAGCATTGTCGCAGGCTGTAGCATTTTCAGGGGAGAGCTGGCTCTGGTTGGAGGACTGGAGCTGTAGAGGGGCCCAGGTTGCCATGTACATGACCTGAAATGCACATTAGGTAGAATACAACAGAAAGTGGCAGGCTATGGCTTATGAGCCAAACCAGCCTGTCACCTATGGACAATAAAGTTTTATTGACACAGAGCTACACGCATTCATGGACGCATTATCTACGGCCTGCGTTCAGGCTACAAGGGTGAACCAAGTGCTTGCAATGGAGACTGCCTGGCTTGCAAAGCTGAAGATGCTTACCATCTGTTTCTTCAGAGGAAAAGTTTGCTGACTTCTGGTTTAAAGCATGGTGCCTGAGTCCAAATCCTGGTACAAGCACTCAGTGTGAGCTACTAAGACACACTGACTTTTACTTTCCTTTTTAAACATTGGAGAGAATTGGGTCTTTCTTGTGGGATCATGGGAGGGATGGTGTTAGAATCTATGGGGTGCTTAGCTCGCTGCCTGGCATAGAGGAAAGACTTTGGAAGGTAGTGATTAGTCTTAGTAACAACAGTACCATTATTATTATTACCAGCGTTTTAAAAGGCATTTAATGAGCACCTACTTCATGCCAGCACCTTGCCAGGTACTGCAGATATACCGGACAGAGCAGCCTCAGCCTCATGGGGCTGCAGACATGGAGGCAGAGGTCATGGCTTGAGACAGAAGTGTGGGAAGCCCGGGAACAGCAAAGGGAGCTGACCTGTTGGGGGCTGGGACCAGTGCGGTGGACGGGGTGGGGACAATGCTAGGAGGTTCCTCTTATGGGCTTGAAAAACATGAGAATGGCCAGGTGTGGTGACTTAACACCTATAATCTCAGCTCTTTGGGAGGCCAAGGCGGGTGGATCAGATGAACCCAGGAGTTCAAGGCCAGCCTGGGCAACATGGTGAAATCCCGTCTTTACAAAAAATACAAAAAATTAGCCAGGCATGGTGGTGCATGCCTGTGGTCCTAGCAACTCAAGGGGCTGAAGTGGGAGGATCGTCTGAGCCTGGAAGGTCGAGGCTGCAGTAAGCCGTGATCATGCCACAGCACTCCAGCCTGGGCTGACAGAAAAACTGAGACCCTGTCTCAAAAAAACAAAACAAAACAGAAAGAAAAAGGAAAGCATAAATAAAATAACAACTAACACTTGTTAGATGGGATTAATGGTCTCTGTGTTTCAGGCACCATTCTAAGTGTTTCCCATTTAAGTATTTTCTGATTTAATCTTCCCGGCAGCCAGACAAGGTGGGGGCCATTGTCATCTCCAGTTAGCCAATTACAAAATTGAGTGCTGAGACCCTGAGTTGCCTGAGGTCACCCAGCTGGTCAACAGACCCTGGATTTAAACCCAGGCAATCTGATTCGAGAGGCTGATCAAGAGCCTGATGGAGACCTGTGCTTCCGTCCGCTCTCTTCCGCTGCACCTGTCCCCAGTTGGTGAATGGTGAAGCCAGGCTCAGAGAAGTTAACCAGCTTGTCAGAGAAGACCTGGCTGGTGGTTACAGGGCCACACTAGAAACCTTGGTCTGCATGGACCCCAGAAGCCGTGCTCACAGCCATGCAGCTGACTGGCCTCCCATGCTTGCCGGAGGAGCCCGAGCTGGTGGGTACAGTGTGTGCTGTGAACCTCGGTCTGCACACACCCCACAGCTCAAGCTCATATCCTGACCTGCCTCCTATGCTCCCACGCTGAGTTACACCAGGAGACAGACAGAAAACTCTGTTTCTTTCCTTAGGGAAGACTGTGTCTTCCTGCCCTCTGTGGTCCCAGGAGGGGTAGGTCACATCCTGTGCTCGTGGCTTTGTAGCCTCCCGTCAGCAAAACCTTCCACAGCCAACTCAGGGACCCACAAAGGGACTCACAAAATCCTATCTGCAGAGTGAGCAGCTGCCTACTCTGTGGGATTTCTGGGGTTCCAGACAAGCTTCAGAGCCTAAACACTCTTCCCCAACTTGGATAGGTTAATATGTACCCAGAGCTTAGCAGGGTTTCTGACTCATCAACAGCACACAACAAACGTTAGCTGTCACCATCATGATCGTTATTACTAGGTGATGTTTGAGATTTCTTCAACCATGCAAAGCCTCACAGATACCAACAAAAGATATTGTGTAGCAGAGAATTAATCTTGGAAGAGCACATTTGGCTGTGTAACCTCGGGCAAGTCAGTTTATGTCGCTGAGCCTGACTTTCCTTATCTAAGGGAGACATGATGACCTCAAGAGGCCCTTCTAGCTGTGACATTCTGTCATGTCACTCCCATGGAATTATTACACTGGGGTATAATTCGCTGGTTCTTCCAGTCATGTATTTACTGAGAACATAATATGTGCCAGGCACTGTTCTAGGTATTTAGGACATAGCAATGAATACCCGGCTCTCAGTGTGCGTATAAGCCTAGCAGGAGAAAGAATTGATAAACAATACTCACACTAAATAAACATGCTGGCGGGAGATAGCTGGGAAGAGTAGCAGTGCAGGTGGTGAGAGGTGATCAGACCCTAGATGTGTTCTGAAGCTACTAACACCATGATTTTCAGTTGGATCCAGGTGGGAGAAAGGAGGAACTGGACAATGCCAAAGCTTTTGGACTGAACACCCGGAAGTATGAAGTTGTCATCAGCGGAAACGAAGATGGCGAATGAAGATGAAGCAGCTTTTTGTGTGTGGAGCAGGAGATCACGAGTTCAACTTTGGAACTGCTAAGGTTGAGATGCAAATTGGACATCACGTGGGGACGTCTGGTAGGCAATGAGATAGACAAGTTTGGTATTCAGGGACAAGATTTGGGATGATGAGACATAACTGGCAGTTGTAATCACAGGAATGGCATTTAAAGCCACAAGTCTGGATGAAATCACCAAGGGAGAAAGTAGATAAAAAAGCAGAAGCTGCAGAGTTGCCGGCTGATAGATTAGCAGGAGACACGGCAAATCATGATTTGGTGGTTGTCCGTGGCACCCAGAAGCTGAGCAGTCCCTGCCTAGAACATATGGAGGAGGCTGGAGGCTCTTGTTAAAATAGTTTGGTCATTTTTTGCAGGGCATAAATCCAAAACTATGTTTATTTTATCATTTGGCAATACTTAAAGAATTTGCAATAAACCCTTTTGGAGTGATGAGCTAAAAAACAAATGTTTAATCGAAATTTAAGCACTGCACTTCTGTTGCTCAAGAAAGTTGTTGATGAGCAGATAGACTGCACAGAATGTATACTGACATTTGCATCACTATGGGGGCTGCAGCAATTTCACTGATTGCAAGAAAACCTAAGACCGGAGGGGCTACTTTACAAATCAGTAATTTTAAGAACATCGCACCCTAAGACCTGGGTCTCATCTGTGTAGCTGCAAAAGATGCTGTTATATGATCATTCTGGGAGGCATGACTTTTCCCTTAGATCAAATGACTGTTCTTTAAGTTAACTCAGCTCACATTTAGTTCCAGCTTTTTTTGTGCATGTGCAACAGTGGAAGTGATGGCTAACTGTGCTCTGGTTCCAAAAGAAGAACATCACTGAAAGTATAACAGTATACTCAGACTCTTCAGACAGAAAAACCTGTTAATTCCAATCACAGTTCCCTCTTTCATCCAGCCCATGGAAGCAAAACTGGGCTTTGGGACATTCATTCTGGCAAAGTGAAAACAACTGACTTTTTTTGTGAATGCTATTTTAAATTGTTTCAATTTTCCACATTGGGAATAAAGTCATTGCATTTTTGTGAGGATAAAACACAAATTTTGGTGGAGTCCAGTGTCGTGGTAACAATAATATTCCTACTAAATTAAGACACCAATAAAACAGAAATGTGATTGGAATAGGTCGTGGTACACACACAATGTGTTATTGCATATAAATAAGTGTCAATATTCTATAAATTGAAATAGATGTACTTGACAAAATTTACCAAATGTTAAGACATGCACAGATTTACTGAACTACAAACTTGTTGTGATAAAGTTGTTCATAAAGTCTTCTGAAAAACTAGACTTTCACGTGTTTTCTCTTTTATTTGCCCATTATCAGCTATTAAACAGTGCGTGAAAACAGATCTCTAAATTTTTGTTGAATTTTGTTCCAAATCAGTTGGAAATTTTAAGTTATTCAATGGATAGAGCACCAAAACATCAGCTTTCAAAGTTTTAGTGGGACTATAATGGTTGAAAACAAAGCTGGTATGCAGAAAAATTATAAAGTGTATCAGAAAATTATCAAAATCCAATGCTGTACAAGGCTTAATTCTGAAATCCTATAATGAGCTCTGGAATATCTCAATTTGTGGGAAGAATCTTTTTAGTGTATAAATTCATGTTCTGTTCGGAAATGAGATGAAATTGAGAAAACCTATGATTTGCAGTATCTAAATTTGACAAATGTTCAAAACTTATAAACAGGTACAAAAGCTTGAATCTTGTAAAAAAAAAATAATAATTGTGGGCTGGGCGCAGTGGCTCAGGCTTGTAATCCCAGCACTTTGGGAGGCCGAGGCGGGTGGATTACCTGAGGTCAGGAGTTCAAGACCAGCCTGGACAACATGGTGAAACCTCGTCTTTACTACAAATACAAAAATTAGCTGAGTGTGGTGGCAGGCACCTGTAATCCCAGCTACTTGGGAGGCTGAGGCAGGAGAATCACTTGAACCTGGGAGGCGGAAGTTGCAGTGGGCCAAGATCACACCATTGTGCACCCCAGCCTGGGTGACTGAGTGAGACTCCATCTCAAAAAACAACAAAACAAAACAAAACAAAACAAAACTAAACTAAACTTTGTGGAAGAAAGGAATCCTGAACTGAGACAAAAAGATGGCACCTGTGAAAATATCTGAGCTAAAATATTTTTGCAATTTCATATGCAAAGAACTGGACTGGAGAACAGCCTCTGCCTGGCAGAATTTGCTGAGAGTTTATCACTCAGCACCTGCAGAGGGAACATTGTCTCAATATATTATGGTTCAAGAGAAGAGTCAACTGAAGGCACTAATTTAAATTTGTTAATTGTCAAACTTCTGGAAAAACGATTTCAGGCAATTACATGGAGAAATTAAAAATAACAAGACCACATTGACAAAAATACTTGGGAATTTTTGGGAAAAATGCCAATGACAAGGTGTCAGTCAGGCACAAGAAACTGCAGCATGTGAATATGCAGCAAGAACAATGATTTTGCTTATCTAATTTTTGAATATTCAGTTAATTAACAAAAAATGTTTTATTTTGCTTTAATATACATAGGTATATGTGTATACACATTTATACATATATTTAAAGAGTTTTTGGAAAATAGCTTTTGTCTAGAACTACTTTATAACACCATCAATATAATATAACCATTTTGTTGGCCTTTTTTCCCTCTCTTCCTTCCCTCCCTTCCCTTCCTCCCTCCTTCACTTCCTCACTTCCTCCCTTCCTCCCTCCCTCCATCCTATCCTGCTTCCCTCCCTCTCTCCTTCCTCCCATCCTTCCTTCCTCCCTCCCTCCCATCCTGCTTCCCTCCCTCTCTCCTTCCTCCCATCCTCCCTTCCTTCCTTCCTCCCATACTCCCTTCCTCCCTCCCTCCCTCCCATCCTCCCTCCTTTTCATCCTTCCTCCCTCTCTCCTTCCCATCTGCTTCCCTCCCTCTCTCCTTTCTCCCATCCTCCCTCCCTCTTTCCTTCTCTCCCTCTCTCCTTCCCCATCCTCCCTCCCTTCCTTCCCTCCTCTCTTCCTCCCTCCTTCCCTCTCATCCTCCCTCCTTCCCGTCCTGCTTCCCGCCCTCTCTCCTTCCTCCCATCCTCCCTCCCTTCCTTCCTCCCTTCCCCCTTCCCTCCCATACTCCCTTCCTTCCTTCCTCCCTCTCTTCCTTCTTTCCTTCCTCCCTCCCTCCTATCCTCCCTCCCTCCCATCCTTCCAACTTCTCTCCTTCCCACCCTGCTTCCCTCCCTCTCTCCTTTCTCCCATCCTCCTTCCCTCCCTCTTTCCTTCTCTCCCTCTCTCTTTCCTTCTCTCCCTCTCTCTTTCCTTCTCTCCCTCTCTCCTTCCCCATCCTCCCTTCCACCCTTTCTTCCCTCCTCCCTTCCTCCCTCCCTCCCTCTCATCCTTCCTCCTTCCCATCCTGCTTCCCTCCGTCTCTCCTTCCTGCCATCCTCCCTCCCTCCCTCCCTCCTTCCTTCCTTCTTCTCTCTATCTACAAATACTTATTTTTGGGGGACACAGTTTTTGACTGTTGGGGTGCCCCAGCAGTGTGCACAGCACATGGTTTGGCCATCCCTCTCCTAGCTACCTCTGATGAGGTCTATGGTGACAGATGCTGGCAGATGGGAATCTGTGGAACTGTCCTGTGATCAACTGGGTTTTCTCAGGGAGAAAGAAGGAGAGGTCCTGACCTGGGGTGGAGAGGCTGGGGCATTGAGGGTTTGAGAAGAGATGGGAGGGTGTTGAGCACGATATGGTTTGGCTGTGTCCCCACCCAAATCTCATCTTAACTTGTAGCTCCCATAATTCCCACGTGTTGTGTGAGGGACTTGGTGGGAGATAACTGAATCATGGGGGCAGATAACAAAGCCAGGCCAATACCTTGACTTTGGCTCAGGCAGACTGAGTTTGAACTTCTGACCTCCAGAACTGTAAGATAATAACTTTCATTGTTTTAAGCCAGTAAGCTTGTGCTAATTAATTACAGCAGCCGTAGGAAACCAGCACAGGCGGTGAGGTTGCACCCTGGCCCGGAAGCTAGAGATGACCAGCTATGCAGAAATTTTAACTTGAATCTGATCGGGTCAGTGGACACCACCCCAATCCCCAGGACCGGGAGGTGGCTGGGGCCACTGCAGCCACAGCATTTGTCTGCTTACGTGGGGTTTATTTTTAAAGGGACTGTCCTCATCTGCTGCTGTCTGTGTTTATAAGGTTGGCCAGAAAGGAGAAATCTTCCTTTGCCAGTTTTTAGCTTTAGCTCTGATATTTGACTAGAACATAGTAGGTGCTCAATAAACAGTATCTACAGATATTGTTAGTAATATGTGATCTTATTTGAAGAACTCAGAAGGGACATTGGGCAAGTCTACTAAAGATGATAATTCTGTAATTCCTGTACGGTATTTTCTGAATTCTGAGCGTTTTAACCTTGGCTATGAGAGAGTGTGACTTTCTTCAACAAATTAGTGAATTCTTCAAATTAACTTCAATTTCAACAGCACATCATTTCCAATGATGATAACGGCATTGGAAATGCAGCCATAGATGTTAAAGACCATTAGTGTGGTCACATAATAAAATGCTGCTTTCAAGACACGAAGAACCCAACCAGCTATTGGTCTTATGAAATATTGTAAGCCATCCCAGAGAGGCTAATTTAATTTTTATATATTGGAATTTGCAGGCTGTAACTGGTCAGAGTTCAGGCGAGCTTCGGTGGCTGCATTCAGCCCTGACAAGTTTCACTTGATCTTGATAGGAGGAGCTACTGGAAGCCTCCCAACAGTTCTAAAACCTGTCCCGCCTCCTCCTGTTCTGGAAAAGCAATTAAGACCCAAACTAGGCATGAAATAAAAGTCTCTTAAATTGATTTAGAATTATTTTTTAAAAGTTCCCTCACAGAAGCAGAAAACTGCTAATAGGTAGGTATAAAAGGAAGCTTTGTTTTGTTTTGTTTGTTTTGAGACGGAGTCTCACTCTGTCACCAGGCTGGAGTGTTATGGCGCGATCTTGGCTCACTGCAACCTCTGCCTCCCGAGTTCAAGCAATTCTCCTGCCTCAGCCTCCTTGAGTAGCTGGGACTATGGGTAAAAGGAAGTTTTTTGTTTTTCTAAGAGACACAGATTTCCTCTTATATTGTACTCTCATTAAAAAAAAAAGGTGGTCATTTACTTACTCAGGCAGCAAATGAAGGTGTTCACAACCTTAGGTGGGTTTTCTGATGGTGAGAGCTGCCTTCGGAGGTGTTTTCTCTTCTGGGAAGCTCTGTGGAAACGTGGCTTTAAATTATATAACCTCTGCCCTGATGATGTCATTGTGGGGATTGCCGTAAAAGTGAGTCTTTTGGGACTCACTCCAAGTGGATTTGGAAGAACTCCATTCTCATTTCACTTTGCACTTTAGGGATGATAAGAGATTATTCAGCTACCGCCTCCCCCTTTACTTCGGTAACATCTGTGGAGCCTCCCGATCCCGCTCAAGACCTGTATGTTGATAAACGTGCCCTAAGACATGTTTTGGCATCGCCAACTTGCCCCAAGGCTTGCAAAGTCTCGGTGAACATTGAGAGATGGCTTTTGCTCCCTTCACTCTTGGCTCCTGAATGTCTGGGCTCTGCAGCAGCTTTCGTGGGAGGCCCTTTGAATGGTCTCTTTTGAATTTTGTTCGCGAAAGATACATCGCCAAGAATCCATAAGCATGAACCTATTACACAAACAGAGAGCTAGGAAAATGTCTGACTCATGCAATGTTCAGAGTTGAGTAAGATCGGACACATTTTTTCCTAATCTTCCTTGGCGGCTCTGCAAATATAAATCTACATGGGTCAACTTGAACTACTCAGGACCACATGTTTCAGACAGTAAGATATTTTTGGCTTTGAGAAACAGCTGGCAAGATTCTCCAACTGAAGGCCCCTTACCTGCCATCTTAAAAAGTAAGATCTTTCCAGGAGCACCCCTACATGTAGAAGAACTCACTCATGCCAGAACGCAGGGCTTTGAGTCTGACTTCCGAAAAGGTGATCCCCCAGATGTTTGGAACGGAAGGTGTCACCTCTGTCTTTCAAATCTTGCCTTTTCTTTGCGTTCCCTTTTTCTGCTAGTGACATCTCAGAGGCAGTCAATTGCACTTTAGATTTTCCTGCTGTTTTCTCCTGTTGCTGAAGACCTTAAAATTGTGGAAGCAGCGGGAAGCAACAGCAATCCAAGGCTCAGTAATGGATGTACATTTCAGGGGAGACGCTGGAATTGCCTTAGAGGATGGTTCCTTCCTATCGGGAGAGACCTCCTGGGTGGGATTTTGAATATAAAAACATTGTTAATAGGTAAGCATCTTCCATCATTCTGGGAATAGATCTGAACCAGAGGAAGGCTCCAAATCTTAGCCTTTCCTGTTACTTAGTAATGTAGGTGGGGGTCTCTCCAGCCTGTGGCTGGCTTATTCTCCCTTCAGCATGAGTTTAGACTGAACTGTTTCTGAGAAGCATTTGTTCTTAGATGTCTCCCTGTTTACTCACCCAGGAGTGCCTATAAGGCCAGTTCCGCCAGGAAGAGCATGTGCAGGTCTGATCTCTGCTTTGCCTCTCGCTGGAAGACAGGCCGTGAAGAGAGCTGGCCCGAGTGAGCCAGACTTCGGAGATGTGTCTGGCCGCCTTGCCAAGGTGGTGGCGGGTGGAATGGAAAGTTCTTTAAGACCCATGTTTCCTCTTGTGGCTCAACCTGATGGGAAGTGGGAGGCAGGCCTGGGCTCAGGGGAGCAGAGGGTCTCCTACTGTCTCCGGGGCCAAGGGCAGGGTGAGGGGACCCCCTGTAAAAGAAAAGCAGTCCCTATAACATGGCAGAAGACAGCAAGGGACTAAGAACGGGGAAAGCACTGAGGACCCTCTGCTGAGGCTTCACTTGCCTTTTCTGAATTGAGTTTCGTTTGTAATTCCCACAGCCTTCATAAGGTTTGGTTAAACCTTGGAGTCTGATGTGTGGTGTGCTTGATGAAGTCCTTGGGTACTTGGGTGAAGAGGTGGCCATGGAGGATAACAGGCTGCCTCTGGAAATAGAGAGGACAGGCCAACCTTCCCTGGGGTGTCCTTAATATCCATGAGGCAGACAGGCCAACCTTCCCTGGGGTGTCCTCAATACCAGTGAGGGGGCACTCTGGGCAGGGTGGACTCCCTGTAGTATGCCTGCGCTTGGACCATACTGGATGTGTATTCAAGGGACGGTGAGTCTGGGGTTTGAGGTCCCGGGGACATGTAGTCCCCAGTGCCCACTGTGATATCAAGGGCCCCCTTCCAGTTCTCTAGTCGCTCAGTGCTGGAGTTATTTTCTCCTTTACTTTTCTAGTCATATCTAGCAGGTTCTTCAAAATACAAGATTCTAGTACATGTCACCTAGCACATCTCTACAAATAGCATCCAGATGCTAAGCATCTCCACGGTTCATTCTTAGTCCTTATACAACATCTGATGTCTCCAGTGTTCTCCCAGTTGTAGACGAAGGAAAGAAAGCCACGGCTGGGCAGAGTTCTTGCCAGTATGAAGGGCAACATCCTCACAGTGCTCCAGCTTATGTCCTTTCACCTCTGACCAAGGCTGTTGGCCATCACACCTTTCTTCTCATCACTGCATTTAGAAACTCATGCAACGTACGTTCAAGTCTGCAACCAAGGACTCTAAACCAATCTCCTAGCTTTCTGATTTCTTTCCTTCAGTCTATTCTTCTGCTGGATTAATATTCTGGAAACACCTGGATTTGTCACATCACAGGACAATGGCCCAACCTCTTGGAATTTATGAGCTACCCCATAGTCTTGCTGTAACACCCAGAGCCACCTCCACCTTCCATGCTGAGTGAGTGATTAATGGGCTCTGAATGCATCCTGCCTGTGAGCATTTGCTGAAAATGACCTTCCCACTCAGTGCTCATTCATCACTCAAGTCCTGGTGTAATCCTCTGCTCTTCTCTAAGCATGGGGTCTGAGTGCTTTCCCCTGTATTCTGCAAACACGTATGGAGCACCCACCTGGTGTCAGGCGAATACCACCCTAGAAGAGCCTGCGTGTCTGGCACATAGGAAGTGGGGAATGGATGGGGTGAGCAGAGGGTGTCAAAGCGTAAGGGGGATGAGCAGAAAATCCTAAATGTATGTTTAGCAAAGCACAAACACTTGGGGACCTACAGGATAACAGTGCGGACCTGAGCACGTCCTAGGCATTCAGGCAGCTCCAGGGGCTGCCCTGGCCTGAGTCGATGGTCTGGCAGCCAGCCCAGAAGTGAGGGGGCCTGGGTGCTGGCTCTGGGGTCAGAAGGTGCCCACTTAGCAGAAAAAGCTCCACTGGGCCAGGGGTTCCATGGGCCAGGAAAGTTAAAAAAAAATCCATATGAAACTCCCCGCCCTTGTGTGGCCCTGCTTTGGGAGTTGAAGGCCTTCTTGCTTGGGGCAGAGCAAGGGCTCACGGGCTCACCAGACCCTCCTCCTTAGGGAGCCTCGAGAATCCCAGGAGCGCACACGCGCTTAGAAGGGACTTGTACTAGGATAGTTGGCTGCATTTCTCTGTCTCCTAAGGCCGAAGCCAGGCCGTGTGACGTCTCTTCTCCAACTCCTCTGTTGCTCTGTCTCAGACCCAGGAAAACTCCCAAGATCTGACGTCGGCAAGGCCGCACATGCGCAGACCCCGCTGTCTCCCAGCGCACATGCGCAGACCCCCTGCTGTCTCCCAGCGCACATGCGCAGACCCCCTGCTGTCTCCCAGCGCACATGCGCAGACCCCGCTGTGTCCCAGCGCACATGCGCAGACCTGTCTCCTAGAGCACCCTTCTCATGGTTCCTGACTCCCCTTCTCATGGTTCCTGACTCCCCTGGCCTCCTCGAGCTGTGTATTTTGTTTTTTGAGACGGGGTCCCACTGTGTCACCCAGGCTGGTCTCAATTTCCTGGAGGCTTAAGCCATCCTCCCACCTCGGCCTCCCAAAATGCTAAGATTACAGGCACTCCCCACTACACCCAGCCTTTCCTCTCTCTGTTTTGAATGTGCCACCTCTTTTCCTACCTCAGGGCTTTTTCACTGTCTGTTCCCCTGCACAGAGTGCCATCCCATCGAGAGCCCCATGCTTGCTCCCCCAGGTCCTTCTGGTCCTCACCATTCGCCTCTTGTCAGAGAGCCCTTCCCTGAAATAACCTCTCCTCCTCTTGCCCTGCTCCACTGCTCTTCACAGCCCTATCGCCACCTGCTCCACCAGGCAATGGATTGATCTCTTGATTAGGATCATCTTCCCTACTGCTACTACAGGGCTCATATGTAGCAGGCGCTCAAATATTTCCTGAGTGTATTCATAACTCTATTTATTTATATAAAAGAATAGCAATAGCTTGTCTTATGTCAACAAACATGTCCCAAACCTCTTGTGGGGCCCAGGCCCTGTTTGGGCACCAGGATGCAGAGATGACCACAGTTCTCTCCCCGCCCACTTAAGGAGCTCTTGGGATGGCTGAGGACAAGGACAAGCTGACATCTGGTGACAATATGTTGTGGTAAGCAGAGTGGCAATGAAGTTCTGAGACTGTGTCTGAGTGTGAGGTTTGAAAAAAAATGAGTTCTGCTCAAGGTAGAGTGGGATGGGTAATTTATGTGTCATGCTGACTGGGTCATGCCCAGATATTTGGTTAAAAATGGTTTCTGGGGGTGTCCATGAGGGTGTTGAACCTTCATAGGTTAATTGAAATGGTTATTCTTTGAACTGGTAGACTAAGGCGGGTTGTCTTCCCTAACACAGTGGGTGGCATCCAACCTGTCGGAGGCCTGAACACAATGAAAAGGAGAAGCAAGGGAGAATTCGTTCTCTCTGCCTGGCTGTTTTCAAGCTGAGACATCTGTCTTCTCCTGCCTTCTCACTGGCCTTCCTGGGCCTCTGGCCTTCAGACTCCCACTGGAACTGCATCACTGGTCCTCCTGGGTCTCCAGCTTGCCGAGAGCAGGTGGTGGAATTTCTCAGCCTCCATAATCACATGAACTAATTCCTTATGACACATCTATCTATATTTATCTATTTTCTGTTGGTTATGTTTCTCTAGAGAACTTTGACTATTATGCAGAATTGGGGAAGGATTCATAGCAGAGGGATATTTAAACTGGGTTTTCAGGGCTGAATAGGAGTTTGGAAGGCAAGCAAGCTGAGAAAACCATCATAGGTGGAGGGACTAGCATGTGTATTATAAACACACACATGTTCACAAGCCTTTGTGGAAGGCTCACTTGGAACTTGGAGTCAGAAAGCCCGGGTTCAAGCCCCATACCCCAATTACTCACTCTATCCGTGAATATTCCATATCCCCAACCTTCCAGCAGGCCCTGTGCAGCTATTGGTTTGGTTCAGAGAAGAGAGTTGAATGATAGTTTCAGCCCAGAGTAAGGGTGCTTTGAGAGAGCAGGTGTAGAAAGTTTTGTGACTCACAGAAGCAATCTCCATTTACCCATACTTGAAAGTTTTGTGGCTCTAGCATGGGGACCAACATGATTTATGCTAAAGATAAATGCTGGGAGCAGGTGGAGCTCATCTGCAGGGCTTCCAGGAGAGAACCAGGGCCCTGGCAGTCCTGGAATGCTCTGGTCCTGCCTGCTTCTGAGAGTTGTTGTGAGGATCAAATAACTGTGTGGGAAATGTCAGTATCGTGCTATATAGATGTTCCCAGTAAGATGAATAGATACATGTTGATGCATCTCTTCTCAGTTTTATGACCTTTCTCTCTTAATCTGGCAGCAAGTGCCATATGGAAAAGCTCTTACATCATTTTTCGATCAAGTTAGATGCCTAGTTAACCCATGTGTACAGCAAAGAATGGGGGCATGGAATAAGATGTTTTCCTTAGAAACCAGTAGTGCCTTATGTTGTTTTAAAGAGATGGAATTGGATTACTGTATTATAAAGTTGATGCTGTGAGCTTTTATCTTTCATATAAATCATGTTGGTTCCCATGATGGGGATGCAGAACTCTGGGTCCAGGGAAACTGAAATTGCTTCTGTGAGTTGCAGAACTCTGAGTATAGGAAACAAATTGCTGAAGATAACCATACCTTTTCTTGAAGACCTATTATCATTCTCGACTGTCTTGGCTACAGACTTGGGATAGAGACAGACTAACAGAAACCTGTATATAATTGTGATTGTGAGTTCTGTGAAGAAACAGAACAGGATGCAGTGGTCCTCTAAACAGAAAGGCATGAAGCTCTGTACAGCAGTTTCCCTTTAGCCACGGAGAAAACGTTCCAAGACCCCATCCATTCAGTGGATGCCTGAAAACACAGATAGTACCGAACCTTATAACGCTATGCTTTTTTCTTTATAGTAATAGTGGGTAGCTTATACAGTGTGGATACATGGGACAAAGGGATAACTCGTGTCCCAGGTGGGACAAAGCAGGATGGGGTGAGGTTTCATCACACTACTCAGAAGCGTGCGTGATTTAAAATGTATTCATTGTTTATTTCTGTAATTTTCCATTTAATATTTTCAGACCTGTATCGGCCACAGGTAACTGAAACCATGGATAAGGGGGGACTACTGTACTTTGGGAGGTCAGGGAGACAGTGAGCAAATCTAATTGTAAAAGCAAGTCCCTGGTCCTTAAGGTCTGATTTGGAAGTCTGGGCTGGCAGGTGTTGGGTGTGGAGCTGCCTCAGCAGGGTTGACACCCTAGCTCCGTCACTGCTGAGAAGGTGAATCTGGAGCATTTTCAGTTCCACCTTCCGGAGCCACAGTCTGCTGATCTGTCAAGTGGGGCACGTTGGGGAGTTTGGGAATTGCATGGGATAATGTGATGCAGCTGGCCTTTGGTAGGCACCACACAGTCACTGTTCCTGATTTTATCATTTTACTGTTGCATAAGATAATGGTAGTGTCATTGTGAGAAGGGGCCACACACACTGTGCTCTGTCTTGGCCAGAACTGAGCAGAGGGAACAGACGCTCATTGCTCGCCGGCTGAGTGGGCCACAAAGGGTGACTCAGCACGAAGGGGGGCATCCAGAGAGTCTCGGAACCCTGTCTTTGGCCATCTTTCAGGGTCTATAAACAGCCTCCCACCTGGGTGGGGTTGGTGGCTGGGCTGTCTGGAAGCTGGGAGCTGGGCCCTGTGGCCTTTTTTTTTTTTTAAATCCTGGTCTGAGACTCCTTGAATTGGCCTGCCATTTCGTTCTGGGGAAGGAAGAAAGAATCAGGGGAGCCCAGGTCCTAGTCCACAGTGATGGGCATTTACACTCAGCACCACGGGCCCGTGATTCATGCTCCGGGGGCTTGGGCTGGCCCATAACGTGCTGTGTGACCATGGGAAAGGCCCCAGTATTTTCCATTAAAAAAAAATTCTACAATTTAGGAAGATTGCATTTCCTATTGTTTCTTAGGAGAGCTGCACTAACAAGTATCTCTAGCCTTAAAAAGAGATGAGGAAAACATCCAGTGTGCTCTCCTATTGTTGAGAAAAGAGGCCTGCAGGTACTGTAATGGGCAACTCCATGGTGAGCATGTGCTCAAAACTACTAAAACACCTGTATCCATTTGCGCACATGCTCAAAATGACTAAAACACCTGCATCCATTTGCTCACATGCTCAAAATCACTAAAACACCTGTATCCATTTGCGCACATGCTCAAAATGACTAAAACACCTGCATCCATTTGCGCACATACTCAAAACGACTAAAACACCTGCATCCATTTGCTCACATGCTCAAAACGACTAAAACACCTGCATCCATTTGCTCACATGCTCATAACGACTAAAACACCTGCATCATTTGCTCACATGCTCAAAACGACTAAAACACCTGCATCCA